ACTATAAATAGGTACTTTTGAAACGTCAAAATAGAGAAGTAAGTAGTTTGTCAGTCTGTTCGTCAGCTAGGTGCTCATCCCAAATTGTAGATTCGAATGGAGAAGAACGAGCAAGAAACTCCATCGTTACTATTTTATTACAAAAAATAGGTTAAGTATAGGTAGGTACAATACGAATACATCAAACATCATGCGACAACAAACTATTAAGAGTGCAATTGAAACACTCAAAATTCATATGTCACTGACCAATAGCAATGACGGATCAATAAAAAAACAATAAGATCAATAAAAATGCTTTTAACAAGAGACGAGCGATTTAAACATTTGTCTGTTAATTAAAATGACCTGTGTTTATGAAATAACAATTTGGACTCCGAGCTTCATTAATAAGAAGAAACCCCGCTGTTACTCCGGAAAATCTAGGATTAAACTTTTTTTTATGTGATGGACCGTCAAACGAGCAAACGGATTACCTGATGGTAAGCAATCATCGTCAAAAGTCAAAATCATTTATTTCAATTAGACTATAGTAGACACTTTTGAAAGCCAAGCAAAAAAAAATAAGGAAAAAAGTATTTCAAGAGCTTTAACTTCAAGCGCGTCAGTCTGTCCGTCTGTCCTCAAGTGAAGCTATTTGCTCGTTCCAAAGTGTAGATTCCTACGGAGAAGAACGAGCAAGAAACTGCATGGTTACTTCATCAAAGTGAGGAAACCTGGACCTATTTATAATTAAGTAGGTATAACTTTGTAATCGCCTTGAGCAAGCAAACCTAGTGATTAAAGCTTAAACCCTCTCCGTGTGATAAGAGGCCTTTGCTTAGCAGTGGGCACTTATAGGTAAGCTGATGATGATATTGTGAATTCATACAAACTTTATAAACACGTATCATTTTTGACATTTCAATAAAAGTATTGAATTTGACTAGTTGGAAACTACCGGATTAAGCGTATAAGTAGATTATCTGTATCTCTCGGGATGTGTGGACGTCATAGCACATTATCATAACTCGATCGGTTATCACAAGGTAACTCTATTGACGAGTTAGAGACGTAATCTGATAATTTGCTGGTTTACGTCAATAGACAAATATGGTTAAGTGGGTGCACAATACCCATACTGCATACGTAGGGAACTAAGTACGTGTATAGATGAATAACCCAGTCTAATTACCTATAAGGTTTTTTTTCTAAGATAGATCGAACACACGAAAAGATAAATCAAACGAGAAGACGGATCACCATCACGGTTACCGATTGGCGCGCCCATGCACACGCAATATCTAGTTACATACAAATGCGTTGCCGTCAAACAATTTGTGGATGTTTTTATTATAACTTTACACGCGTAATAATTTGACGAGATACTCGACTAGTTTCAAGCCATGCTAGGGGCCCATATCATGAGCGGCGACTGTCGCGCTGCTACTGCGCGTCGATAGCAGCGCGACAGTCGCCGCGTCACGTGTCGCGGAAAGCCGAAAACATGATAATTAATTTGTGGATGGTACCTACCTAAGGAGAAAAGGATTGGATATCCGGTTAATCTTAGTCAAAAAGAAACACACTATGTAGGTATATTGTAAGTGTTGTCCCGTCAATTTCCTGAGAGACTGTAATATCACTCCAGTCGAGCCGATCAATTCTAAATCGCCAATCTGCCTTTGCTCAAGGCGGGTTGAAGATTTCAAACTTATAATTAGAAGTTGTTAGTCCAAGTTTCCTTATGATGCCTTAAAGAGATAACGGGCCACCACAGATAGGGCTCAACAGAGCCGATGTTCAGCCGGGTTGCGGGGCGAACGCTATAAGTTACCGCGGCCTTTACCGGGAGCAGGAGAAGAAACGGTTTTAGTCAGTAAGAGTCTGACACACCCTCTCACCTCCAGTCGTTTAATGGTTTTCAACCCTCAAAAAACGGCTTCCTTAAGGGATTTTATTGTTGTGCTGTAAATATGACAGTCGTGTATTAAATTAATCTTAGAAAATACTGTCTGTATATGACTAAAAAGACTAAGAAGAGAAGTCAATTACCTATTAATTGACTGTACGTTTGGCGCGGTGGCTAGGCAACTGGCTGATGTGCGACGTGTCGCGGATTCGATTCCCACACGGAACAACACTTTGAAAATTCCACAAATTGTTGTTTCGGGTCTGGGTGTCATGTGTATGTGAATTTGTATGCTTGTAAGCGCACCCACGACACAGGAGAAAATCCTAGTGTGGGGCAACGTTACTTTTAAAAGAAAAAAAATGACTTTGGTATTTGACAACCTTGCACCCTCATGCATCACGACCGACAGTCATAACCATAGAATGCAACCTAAACAAAATATAGATACCTACCTACCTACTTGCAATAATCCGCCTATACTCGTAAATGGTCTGACCCATTGGCCTCCCTCACAAAAACAGATTAGTTAACCTGTCATTATTCTATTACAACGTATAAAGGTACAAACACACGTGCACACGATTATTCAATGAAACACTAACGAATGCACGTTGCATTTGATCAAGCATACTAAGCTACCCTAAAACTTTAAACACGGCAATCAATATCCAACTTTAAAACAGGTAGGTGAGGTTAAAATTCTTTTGAACAGTTTGTAGTAGGTTGACTTGCTGGCTTGGCTGCATTGCCCTGTTTTTAGACCTTGAGGGAGAAATAAATTGAAAAATTGCGTTTACAGATGGTTATGCAGAGTGGTCGAGTGGACGCAAGCGTGACTCGACGGCTACGGTTTTGGGTTAAGTAGGTATTACATGTTTCAGTGGGGGAATAGGAAATTACTTGTAGTGGGGACCCATGAAAGAAATCATTTCACGATGGGGTGACTCCAGAAGTCCTGAGAGACAATGAGATGGCTGTTGCCCCAAGCCCTGATCCCCTCCATCATAAAGAAATATCTGTCTCTGATAATCATTGGTTGCTACTTACTTATGCTTAGTTATAATCTAGGTATACTATTATTAAATACTATTATTATATTTAATAAAATTTGTCAGTTTGTAAGTTTGTATATATGGGGTAGGTAATCTTTGGAACCGCTGGTCGGATTGCCAAAATTCTTTCACTGATAGATAGCTGCAATGTTCCTGAGTGCTATAGGCTATAAAAATCACGCTACGATTAAATAGAGCCGAGCAGCGGGTGAATCCGCGCGAGAGTAGCTATATTATAGCGCCAATGCATTTTTTATTTCCCGTTTTATTAGTGCATAGGAATCTTATATTCAATACTAGCTACTCTCACGCCGTTTCACTGCTGCTTAGCTCCTAAAGGTCATAGCGTGATGTTTTATAGTCTATAGCCTTCCTCGATAACATAAAGAATCTAAATAATTCGAACCAGTAGTTCCCAAGATTAGCGCGTTCAACAAACAAACTCTTCAGCTTTATATTATTAAGTATAGATGACACATAATGAAGACCAACTTATAGCCAGTTAGGTAAACTTATAGCCACTATCTACGCTTTTTTTAAATGCTTTTTTGATAGGGAAAAATTATCGGATGACGTCTCCTTTAAAGCAACCTTTTTTGCTTGTGTAAAAGATCGATTTCTAAAAAGGTTGCATTTTTTGTCTTTCAATAGCACCTGAGACCCGTTGGGTTTACTTTTGACCACCGACAGCTGCGGGGCAGATGGCGCCTAAGCGATCAGCTGGTATGTAAAAACTAGTAGGTGCTAGGAAGCTACTCATAAAAGTGCCTACCAGCTACCTAGCTCCTTATTTTCAATACACTTTCACTAATCATAACAAATATCTTCATTCTTCTCATAACCGTCTTCTCCAATGCCCCACTCACCGTACCAACTTCCTCCATTCTTCTTTCTTTGTTCAGGCCATTCTATTACAGTGGAATGCACTCCCCTCCGATGTCAGGACGGTGTCCAGTCGCCTGACCTTCAAACGGAAAGTTCGGGAGCTTCTACTGAAGAGGTTAGCGGAGTCTTCACAATATCTAATATTTTTATATGTAAAATATATATTTATCAGTTCTCGCACCTACTGTTATCTTTGCATCGCCCAAAGGTTCGACTGGGAGAAAATGCCGGTGGAATAAAGTCCACCTTGTACACAGATGTACCTATGTGCAAAAGTGTAAATAAATAAAACGTGTTAGGTTGCGAAAAATAGTTATTGTGAATACCTAATCTTTTCTTGATCTTGATTGCTCTATCAAAGGATTCCAGAATCCTAGGTAAGCTACCAAAACCTACGGTTATTTGACGACCTGACGTCATTTTTATTCCATTTAACATACATATCTCCTTCCCAAAAATAGGGGGCTTTTGGAGGCTGAAAGCGTTAAAAAAGAATCTAATATTCTTGGGTAAACATAACAACACACTAAAATAAACACAAACATTACATGTGTACAAGTTTTGAACATTTATTTGGCAAGAATTTGGTTTAACATTATATAAATTACATCATGGGTAAGTACATTAAATTTCAAAATAAATTAATCTTAATATATATGCAGAGAGACTTAAATAAATCTTAAATAACTAATACTATTTTTAAGTTAGTGGTAAACCATTATAAATCATGGTTACTATAGAAAAGAACTACAAATAAATTACAATCAACTAAAACTTTATACAGCCTCATAAAAAATATATGTGAATGTTTTAAAATGTAGCAAAATTTCAAATATTAAAACGTTTCAATAACCCTACATCTAACTAACACTTTGGAATTTATTATGCTTTGGACAGTAATAAGATACCTACTTAAATTATTATACATGATACTAGATCATCGTAGTCTTAATTTTCTATAGTAAAGAAATACCTATCAGTAAAAAAAACATGATCTAATTCATCGTTAACACGAATAGTATAAGTAAATACAACTTATTAAACAAATTATAAACATAATGACTTAGAACTAAAAATGTGAATAATTTTCAGTTACTTATATAAAAATTGGAATCGAACAATGAAATTTAACATATTTAATTAAAGGAACCTAACTTCAGTGCAAAGATATCCCAAGAACTTAGTATTTATAGGCATTTTCACATATTCTGTTGCAAATACTTTCTCTCATTTATACAGTTTTCTAGCTCATCATGATATTTATCAATTTTAGCGTCGAAACCTGGACTCTGAATGTCGTAGTCAAAACTGTTCCCTGTGATCACTTTCTCTTGATTAAGAGTAGAATCAAACCTCACTTTCTTGCCTGGAGTATTAGTTCTGTTGTGGGATAAGTCAGAATTATCACTCCTTTCTTTAAGAGGAGTAATATTCATATTTAAGTGTGTGTTTCTTAAAGTTTTTACTGTTTCATATTCATGTTCATCCAACTCTTCGATTTCAATTTCATCTGAATTGTCCAAGTTTAACGCTGGGTTCTCTATACCCGAGTCTTTTGTCTCAGTCTTCTGTTTAGGCGGTTTTCTTGGCACTTCATATGGATTTAAAGTAATATTATTATCAGTTTTTTCACCTTTGAAAGTTCTTTTTAATGTCTTGAAGACTCTTTTAGACAATCTGTTACCGACTCTTAGAAGTGGGTTTTTAGATTTTTTGCTCTCATTAGAATCATTTGATGTGTCTTGGTGTGAGTTTTTGTTAATGTTTATTATATCTATAGCACTGAACTGTGATACATCATGTCCTAAGATACGGCTTTGCTTATTAAATTCATTGACTTCCTCAATATTTTCATACACCGGGCTCTCAGATCTGTAGTTATCTATATTCTCATACTCATGTTGGCCTTCAAGGGATTCATTCACAGTTGATATAGTACTATTTGTATCGCCAAACAATCTTCGAGGTTCTAGAACTTTCTCAGCTTGAGATGGTACTTCCACAGGTCTATTTAGAACCTCCTCATTATATTCCGGCTCCGGCTTAGCATCAAGGTTCAAAAATGGATTCTGTTTAGCTTCTATACTAGGAACAACATTAACTATGTTAGGATCTAAGAAAGGATTAGTACTCTTAGTGTTGATTCGTTTTTTCTTTGTTATAATTGTAATAGTCTTGATTTCCATTATATTACTCTCATTCAGATCATCGTCATAGAACAAAGACTGGTTTGAAAGGTTTGGCGAGTCTAAACCAAGTCTGTCAATAAAACTGAGATTGAGATTACTTGAATTATTAATAAATACTTGATTTGTAACGTTTGTTTGTATGTTTGTTATAGGAGATGGCATGGTAGTGTCATCTTTAATCACCGCACTTAGAGATTTCTGCTCCAAAACTGATATTCCTGAATCAACATCATCATTTGGAATGGTAACTTCCATAATATCATTACTCTCCATTTTAGACATTACACTATTTTGTGTGTCATCTATAATCGTTATAGATGAGTCTTCCGGTTTCTGTGTTTGATGAACTTCGGTCAAATTAGCATAAATTGGCTCAGTTTCAATGACATCCATGCTCATATCAGTAACATTGTTTTGTACATTTTTACGTTCATTTTCGACATCCATGCTGACATCAGCCGAGATATCAGGTTGGACGTTTTGACGTACATTTTCAATTTCTCTTGCCAATACTTTATTTACGATAGCTTTGTTGACACCGAGGTCCAAAGCGGAGTTGTCAAATGTAGCTATATCTCCGCAACTGCGAGCTCGCTTTCGTTTCTTTACGGGAATCACTTCCATAGCTGTGTTGCACATTGGGTCTTCGTTGGCGAGGATATCCAGTGCCGGGTTGAGGTATGCGTTGGGACAAGGCGCAGCGATTTTCCTTTTGCTTTTTATAGGTTTTATTTCAAATTGATTATTGTCTATTGAGTCCATTGTGACCTGGAAATCAGTAATAAGGGTTTTAAGTCTCACATAATTACAAACGGAACCTATAGGTATTCTGTGGAACCGCTTGAAAGCTTATAGTAATGTTTAAATTATTTCTTTTAGATGTACCTATACTAAAACTTATGTAAATACTGTTTGTAATTAGTTTGCAAAAAAATGCTTCTTATTAACTATAATATATTACTATATAGATGTAAAATAAACTGCATCGTTATGTAGTTCGTACATATGATTACGAACTTGTTTTTTTTTAATAACTTTAAATATGATTTCTAATTTAAACACACAAATTTATGTAATAATTACTAACCAAATGATCAAGTTTTATATATTAGTTACTGAGAACATTGTCAATTTAATGTATAACCACTTTTCGTTATTAATTTTATTCAAGAAATGAACGATATAAATGTGATTACACAAATACAATTCATACCTTGAGAAGTTCAAGAAACTGCAGTAAACATCAAGAATACAAACACATATATACACTGCACTAAATAATATGTACTTTTTATCATGAATTTGTAATCAGAACAATAACTTTCATTCATAACTTTCCGTTTGAATATTGTAAACAAAAAAACCGGCAGGTGTTTGGCAACCGTTATAAATTGACATTTGAATCCTGTTGCCAGTTGTAACGATTTTTCTACCAATTACAAACGTCATATTTTGTAATTTCTACCATTTTTGTTTGACGTTTATAGAGTTTTAGTTCGAACTTGGCGTCAAGAGATGGCACTAAAGGTTCAAGCTCCTTGCGCATTTTAAAAGATTTTGTAAGTTTGTACGTTTTCATTATAATTGAAATATGATTATTATAAATATTTTCAATGTTCTAAGAACAATTTTGTCTGATTAATGCAACAACTATGAAAGAGATTCCAAATACAACCTACTTACTTAATTAACAAAATAAATAAAAAACTGTGTATTGCATAAAAATATATTTCTACTTCAAATCACAATTATATCCGATTCTTGGAATCAACATAACACATTTCAACAACACAAGCATTTATCACAAACTTTGATAAGGAATAAAGTGGAATTTTCAACTAAATCTAAATCTACTGTGCACATAAATAAAAAACCTTAAGTACCTATGCTTCCGCCACCTTACAACTCTAGTGACACTTCTTTAACAAGAAAAACTTGTATAAAATTTGTTAGCTACTGAATTTACATGGAAACACAATTCTTACTATTCAGGTCCCAATAAGTCATTTAATTTTTTTAAAGCAACTCAAATGAATAAAAATGCTAACTCCATTTTAATGTAACATTTTCATCAAAAATATCCAGCTAACCTTCTACAAACAAATAAACATTTATTTATTAACAAAATTGATTAACCTTTTCATCGTGACCTTAGCTCGTTTAAATTTTAATGCATAATTGAGCGTCAATTGTTTTGAATAACGTAAGACATTAGTGTCTTATAAATATCTAAGTATATACAAGTCTCTTTAGTTTTGTCTAAGAGAACAACTTTGAGGAAGGAGAGAAAATGATACATAAGAATTTAAAGGCTTGTGAAGTACACGACTCACGTATGTTGAACATAAACAAATATAAAATTAAAACTAATACTCTAATACAGAAACCATTTCCATTGGTATAAGCAACTGTTGCGGACACGTGCTCCAATGACTTGTTATGACTAGGTAACGCTCTAACCCAAGTTAAGTTTGCATAGAAAAAAGAGTGGCTTTTAAAGATAATAAAGTACCTACGTTTGGAAATTTTGGCATATATAATGAATTATCAGATTTCGATTGTGATAAGAGATTGATTAAAGTAAATTACTTTGCTTATTAAATGATAATTAAATAATACCAATGGCAATCACTAGATGAAATACAATGATGTCACGTTCTTTAATCCCGGAAAGGTATTTCTTTTTTTAATTGAAATTATGAACCATTTGGTTATTAATCGCATTTGAACTAACTTCGAACACATGAAGAATAGAATCCAATCTTAGAACAAATAATTTCAATTTTCTTTTTTGGTGTCGAGTCGAGTTTAGTTGGTTTTGTTTTAGTAAGTACTCTAAGTACCTAATCATTAAATGATTAACTTCATAGATTCTATCAGTATACTAAGCAGAAAAAGATTTAATATTGAGAAAAAGGATTTATTTTTGCTTCTTAGCGACCATACCTTTTTTTATATTTTTTTGAGGATTTCTACAACATTCATTAGTTTATTTCTATTGCTATTTTTGGAATACTATAGAAATACGAATGCTTATTATTACTACGTATTTACATAATTTTGCATACTTATTAAGATTAATTAAATTTTATCGCAAATTAACAATCAACAACTGTTCATATATTTATCATTTTGAAGATAGACATAGCTTTAGATAATCCAATACATATGTAATGTACGATAATCTAATATATATTGTTACAATATTTAAAGAACGAATGGTTTTCATAAACCAGTTTATATATGCAATATTCCTCTTACTTTTTCATGCAGTGTATATTGCAAGTATATTTGGTAGGTATTTTAAATAACTTTGATTATGCAAAACGATTCATTGCTGAATACAAAAAAAAAATAGAAACTTTTATTTCCGTCAAATATTTTAAACTAAATAATAAGTAGCTAACACCTTTGAAAATATCACAAAGTACCTAAATACATACATAACATCAAATATTTTATCACAATAATATAATACGTGGACAACAATTTAATACACAAGCACGAACACTTGACAATTTGAATATATGGTGTAATATACAATTTTCTATTAAACGTAATATATGTATTTATATAGAATTAATAAAAATCAGTATACCGTGTCTTTAAATTATGATTGTACATGACATACAGAAATATAAGAAAAATGAACATATCGTTAATGTTTAAAAAACCATAAATTAAATACACGATATAATTCCGTCGATGCTATATGTTTTAATAGATTTATAGATAATCTATAAAGCTAAGCTTTATCTTAATAAAACTCCCACACACATATATTAACATCCTAACATATAGTTTAACAACAGTCAATTTTCTAAATATATTAAACAAAAAATGTCTTTTATTACAAAAATAAAGTTTGTAAGTTATCTTGCCTTGATTACTCTCATAGTTACTCCCTAAATTTTGTATTAATTGCGATTTCCATATAATCGCATTAGCACTATCTAAGCATTTATCTATTCTGTCATTTAAGATTTATAATTGACAAATATTTATTTGTATGTTTTACCAAAATAGTCGTTACTATGCTTTCGAATAACAAGTCAAGATTGTAAATTTATATTTAGCTCCAAACTGAACTTAAGAAAAAAAACACAAATGCATCCTTGAAATTATACTAAATCAATTCTATTTTTGGACTGGCAACTAACATAAAAGGTTAGAACTGTCAAATGCTTAAACATTTAAAAATAGAACACGTTCTATTCTATTTACATATTTTTTTTTTATTAAACCAGTCGTTCCACTGCCAAAAATTACTACTAAAATAGACAAGATTTACCTTTCTGATAGGAATACCAAATCTTTAGTCGATATCGAGATTCTTGAATGCCCTTTCCATGGCCTTCTCCCTTTTCTTGTCCGGTAACGCAGCAATCCTTTGCTCCTCTTCAGCTTTGAAGTATGGTTCCATGAGTTGGAGCTGCTGCATGCATTTCTTGTGCAGGGTCTGTGTATCTGGAAGAGTGCCACCGTAGTCTGGAGGCAGTGAAGATCGTGGCACCACAGTCTCGTAAAACTTCTCCAAATCCTCGTTCTTATTGTGGAATTTGAGCTGAAATTTATAACATGACCGCATTAGATAAATTCCTTTTCTTATAATTTGCTTTTTCCTAGAAGTATATAAAGTACAAAAAAAATATTGTTAGTTTAACACACATTATTGTATATCAACGTGGCAACAAATTCGATCCAAAATTGAACGAGCAATAATAATTATTTATATTATATAAAAATCAATGACACTTTACTTTGTAATGTTATACCTAACTGAACAATGCCTTTACCGATTTGGCCCATTTTGGTCTTAAATTATTTAAGGTTTAAAAGGCCAGAAAACTTAAGTTAATTTTGAGGCGAAACGAAGTTTGTCAGGTCAGCTAGTTATTGGTAAAATATAAAATCATTTTCGTTATTTTCAAAAATGTAGTTCAACCAAACCTATACGGTTTTGTGAGTGGAATTTGCTCGTTAAGACAACTTATTATTCATAAACAAATAGCTATGCTTTACAAATTGGTGAGAGGAATTCAAGAATTATTTTAATAAAAAACACAATTAAGGTCAGTAGCTCCAGATCTCCAAATCTATATGAAGATACCATTTTTTTATTACATGATTATGTGATACCATAGATTTTTTGAAAAAAAAATTTCAATTTTCCTATAACAGGTGTAACAAGGACATTAAAATGTCACAAGTTCATGAGACTGGTTGCGAGAAGTTTGTTTTACAAATACACCGATTTTTGACGTGTTTTACACATTGTTTATAGGTATGTAGGTATATTACTAATATGCTTGTGTTAGGTGTATGATCGCTTCTTGACTAGTTGTCAGTTTCTTCTACTACTAACTTGAGGTCAAAATACCGATTTTTACAAATGTAAATAAATATCATTTTGAAAGGTCGTTACTAAAAAAACTATACCACTTTAGATATTGTATAACTATTTTGACATTGATGATTGAGCAAGAAATAGAAAAATATGAATCCTATGAACCTATTTAGCCTTAAAATAAAGTTGGTAGTGATTTCATTTTAAAGGTTGAGCAGACTACACCGTCATACCAATCTGTTTACCTAATAGGAAAACCACCGCTACGGCGTATGTCATAGAGTTCCTCAAAATGATAATTAGCTATATTTTACTATTTAATCGGTACCTACATGTAAACCGGTAAAACATATTTTTACTTGATCAAGTCCAGTATGTTAATCGGTACAATATTGTATTTTAATGTTTTGTATTATAACTAGTTTCTACACTGATAATAAGGACATTACTAATACATAATACTGCAAAGGACCCAATCTTTTTCTGTCTAACATCCCCAAGGACACAGGTGAACCAACTGCACCTTTAAAGTAAATATACTAACCCAGACTATTCTCATCAAAATATTTCTTTTACACAAACCTTTTTCATATGGGTAAGGATATGAACTTGCATTCCGACGACTAATTACTTTTGAAATAGATAGGTATGTGTCTAAAAGTTCTCCAATGGAATGAAAACGAGAGTAATTCCTAAGTTTATAGAAAAAAATACTATCAACAGATGAAGATTTGCAAATAAAACATCGTTCATTATTTTATTCTATTCATTATGTCAACATTAATTGAACACAATAGATTTAAACAATATTCTTGTGTTCATGGAAATCTAACGACCCGATGCTCAACGTGTTATTAAATTGAGTCAAAGGCTAAAAAAACAGTTTTTTTAAGTGGTTTCCATATTCCATCACAGTACTTGCACCTTCATTTTTGAAAGGCATTCCATTTGTTCTAACTATCGCAGAAAACAAGTTATAAATAAAAAAAGAAGAACCATCCAAGAAATCAAAACACAGAAATCAAAGTCCAAGCAGCCTAGAAAAGATAAACTAAAATTATTTAATATGATAATATGGATGGTTTTATAAGAAAAAACTTTTGTCTACAAGTAAGCACCGATTATTATCATTTCAGAAATCATAGTTGCATCTTTAATTTACAATATTTCAAGTATCAAGGTCATCTTAACATTATACATAAAACACGTTTTGTAATGGATGCATGATAAAGTTATTGAATCTTAATGATTTCATCTGTCTAATAAACAAGAGGTAGGTACTACCGCACCGTAGATCTACTTCCTTGCAAGGTAAAATATCCAGCTAGACAAAAAGTTTAGTGTCTAAATTCTCGATAGCAACGCCCGTCGTGTCTTAATACTACCTCGTAAATTATATTTCATCTAATTTGACGAGGTAATAAACTTGTACGGGACCTGAACCTCGAAAGTCTATGAGTTACTAAGAAATTTCGAGATATCAAACAGAGATGGTCACGTATGGTTTAACCTTTAGAACATTTGACCCTGTATTTTTTTAAGTAGGTAAATAACTAATCAAATATGTATGATTGTATCCCTTAATCTTCATGGAATAAGAATCAAAATGTTATCTGTTGCTAAGCCAAGGTCAGACATATTTGCAAGTTGAATAGTTCGAGTAAACACTTACATAGAGTGTGTACATAAACACATATTACAAACGCATGTATGTACATAAGTAACTAGTCGTACAAAGAAACGTTTGGCGCAGACTACGCTGTATTTTTGTGTAAAAATTGTGATTGATTCTCTTGTTAACATATAGATTTATTGGTCACTAGCGAAGTAGCGACTCGCCCCGACTTCGCACGTGTGCAATACAGATACTAAATTTCTCCACTATTTAATGGATGTTATTATACATAAAAAACTTCCTCCTTAATCACTCCATCTATGTATTAAAAAAGCATTATCAAATACCGTTGCGTAACTTTAAAGTACATATGGATGCAAAGACAGAAAAAGCGACTTTGTTTTGAACTATTTAGTCAAGTTTTATTTGTAGTATAATTGTGGATGGATGGAGAGGGAGACCAAAAAAAATATGGATGGATTGTGTGAGAAATGATATGGAAGACAGAAGAGTTAGTGATAGCGTGACGGGTGACAGGACAGAATGGAAGAAAAAAAACATATTGCGCCGACCCCAAACAAAATGGGACAAGGGCAGGAAGATGATGAATAGGGAAAGCGATTGCTTTTCACTACTACATTTAACTACAATCTTGCATGATTTATATATTTAAAAAATGACAATATTGAATAATAAACTACATATAAATATAAACGGATGGCATGTACATGGAACCAAATTGGTTGTCAAAAATATAAAATGACCACAACAGTCTAACAAGAGACCGTATGCAAAATTTTATTTTCATAATTCATTTAGTAATGTGTTAATAGTCTGCATCTGTGTATACATATGTTTATGGTTTTAATTTACAACCTCTATATAAAAGGCTTGCATTACGATATCAGATTCCATTTAAATTGAGTTTTTATTGTGTGTTATGACATTGAGTATATAGAGATTGATCTTTTTTTCAATTAGCACATATGCGTTATTGATGAGCTCGTAAAACTTGTATTTTTGAAAAGAGTAAAGGTGACGTGTCTTGCTCGTTCTTCCTTATTCAAATGTATATTCTAAAATAAGCACCTACCTTCCCTGACGAAGAGAATGACTATTGTGTTGCGTAGTTTGAATATGTTGAAGCGCAAGCAATCATGTAGGTAAAGTAATTTTTTTTTTACTTTTCAATGTAAATTTCTCCGGTGACATGAGTTTTTAACTAGATATAAGTGGTTAAAACCACTGCATTTATCATTTACCAATAGCAGCAGTAGGCATATTTTTTCTGTTTTAGATAACTAAACACCACCAGAGCAGCTCTATCTGAATACATATGGTTCGAAGTTAATGTGACCACATGGTGACATTAACTTCGAAGTTGTAAAAGCGCTAACGTAGTATCAAAAAAGTAACTTGTAAACATAAAAAAAGAACTCACCATGTCAAAAAACTTCTTATCCATAAATGGCCTGATGAGGACCATTAGTTTGTCTAAGACTGGCTCTGTGTTTAAAACATGAATCGCGCGCATGCGTACTGGCATTGCCTCTTGAACGTACTGGAAGAATTTCCGAAGCGACCTGGAATATTTTGAATAATAATCGTTAGCACAAAGAAATGTGAATATTCAGACTAGACGACATTTATACGTTTTAGCGAATACCTATGCCATGCCAATGTGTACTCTATTTTGTATGTATTTAATGCGTGTGCAGTAATGGTTAGATTTATTAACGCAACACCTATAATATTAGTAGGTATGTAAATTCTAAACGCGTTGTTGTCACACAGATTGAGATAAAGCACATATGGCTATAATAATGAAAAGGGATTTGCAACTTTTGTGGTATTAATACAAAAAGGAAAACTTTTCGATGCTCACGGCCAAGAACGTCTAAGAAAATCGAAGACTAGCGTATGACGAAGCAATACTTTTGTAATATTACAATACAATACGAATAGCTAGCTAATAAACTTCAGTTTTAACGAGCTGTAGCGTTTTATTTCTTCATTGTATAAAAACAAATGAATAGCCATACAAAATTACGAGTATTGTGACAAATTGTAGAAAGAATTATGTATTTTCAACAAATTATTTAGTTATAATGAAAATTACTTCTTATATCTAAAAAAATCTCATGACTAATGACGGTTTTAATTTAAAAATATTCAAGCAAAATGGGACATTTATACGAACATCTTTTATCTTTTACCTTTGTCTGTCCTTTTGAAAGCTAAGAAAATATAAATATGTATACTATCATCACATTTACATGTATTATGCATAGAACATTTTTTTTTCTATATTTTTGACGTGAATCCACATTTATTACATTGACATTATAAAGTTCACAGCATTTATTCACACGAAGTCAATGCAAATACTAATAACACTAACAATACGGATTACAGATACAACAATGGATCCACGGTTTTGAATGACAAAAATATACTTACGATAAACTAACTCTTGTAAGATGTCCGAATTTCACACCACGCATATCGAAGAGAAACATATACCCTGGTTGTGGACCACGTTTGGTGAGGCATAAATCTGAAAAGGATTATTTTGAAATTAATAGCACGAAATAGTTTCAAAACAAAATATGGCAACTAGAAAAAACTACTAAATTGGTAGCTTTTTATTACATGTCAACATTGATTTTTCGCGCCTTTTTTTTTGAAGGCCAACACAATTTTCTAGATACCTATTTCTTTTTTTAAGCAAAATTTTAGTTTATTTGAAAAAAAAATTAAATAGTTTGTCTTTCTGTCATATCCATATCAATCATTATCTAAATTAGATGCATTTTTACCTATCTAAAATGGCAGAGTTATTTTAATCAATGGATGATTAATTACGTACGTAATTTAGATTTAATCACACTCATGATTAGGGTAAGAATGGGTATTACCGGTCACTTAAGGCAAAATGATCACAAATCAAATAATTATAAACATTTCTTTATTAAACCTTTTAACAATTAAACTATAGGTATTCTTCTATCAAAATCACATTAATTCAGATCAATGATTTAAACAAATTTAGCACAATCAGCATTTAAAAAAAAAACGAGTTTGACTGGTATTAGACACATCGGCGGGTAAAACCAGTCAGTAGGTTGCTAATGCCGGTCAAGCTTTGTTCAGGCATGAGTCGCAAATGAAACCCTCAGGAAAGTCATAACCAGAGCACTCAGAGTGCGCCCAGACACCACACAGCACACATCTATACCAGAGCTCGTTATCACGTCCATAATCATCGCAAATTAAACATTTGTTTTCATAATTTTCGTCAGCATCAGTGTCTTCGTTTTTATGCAGGTCTGTCATTTCTACTTCTGAGTCCGACGTCCTCTCATTTCATTTGTTTATATTTTGGAGCACTTTAGCACTATATTTTTAGCTTTTTTTCACTTCCATTGATTTTCCTTTTCTTTTATCAGTCGTTTTTTCGGTTTTTATTTTAAGAATTGGCTTTTTCTTCTCCTTTGTAATTTTTCTGTTTTCTTTCTCGACTAAAGCTTCTTTGTTAGGAGTTTCTGTTAATACTGTTTACGAGCACGTATGTTTTTTTCTTGTCCCTCGACTTATTTCGTAGTGGCAAAAGATCCTTAACAGTGACAGGTTAACCAATGCTGGAAATAGAAGGAACGGGGTGGTCATAATGTAGTTGTTTCATTATTTGTCCCTGTTTAGTTGCTCTTGGCTCCACGACGCCTTTGAATTGGGTTGGCTTCTTCTTTTATCCGTCCTAAAATAATAAAAAAAATAATTAATAGTAAAATAAATTATACTTACCTGTGTTTACCAATTTTACTTGTGGTTAATACCGGTCAGCATGACCGGCATTGCCCGACTCGCAACATCTTCATAAAAAAACTTCTAGATATTAAACCTGACCAAATAAGTTAAAAAACGATTATCACTCTGAATGCTAAGTAATTATGGTGCAATAATCCTAGGTAACAATGTAAGAAACGTGAAATTATAAACACTCACCTGTTATCGTTTTATCCCGAAAATTTACATCAACTAGGCGCGAAAACAAACGACGTGAATTCACCCAAGAAGTCGCCTGCGGAATTAAGCGGGGACCGGGGCGTTGTCGCTCGGCGACATCACGCCACTCGCTGTGTATGTGTACTTGCGTCGGAACACAGTAGTTTTTGAGATTTTAGATTGACCGGTAATACCTCCTGACCGGTATTACCCGGTTCTACCCTACACTTTATTGCCTACACGTGTAACCAAGCAATTAATTCCAGAAATAACGGAGCCCTTGATATAAATAAACAATAACCCCGTTACATTGTTTTTTTTTTTGTCGAAGGGTGATATCATTATTTAATCTGTATATTATTCGTGTATAAATAAGTTCATAAATTCTCCTGTAAGGTCCCGTAGTACCTAGTGGGCACCATAAACTTACAGCTTTCGTAAGACGGTTTAAATTCGGGATGAGATGACGTAAACAAGCGCAAATTTTGTAACTTAATCCGCGGTGTTCGAAGTAGGTAATAAATTGTCAACTAATACTATAGTACTATATATATATGTCGGAGAAGCATTGTCATCGCTGACATTGTCATTAGTGGTTGCAGGTTTAGTGGGCGTCATGAGGGTAGAATGCGAGCACAAAACACAATAATCACAATAAACACTATTTTAATTTAGATTGTAACAATAGTTTTGTCTGTTTTACAATAACGCAAAAGAAAGTCGATAATTAGGACTGAGCAGCGGGTTCAGGGCACCAATCTTACAGTTATTACATAGACGATCCAACTCGACCGATTTTCTAATGCTCTCTGTTCCCGCCAAAAACTGTTCACCTTTTATACGTAAGATGGCGCCTCGACCCCGCTCGAGGCACGTGCTCTGCTCTGATTGGTTACATAGGAAGTCAAATTCTAGTTTTAAAATTATAATAAAAAAATAAAATAAAAATTAAATTAAGACTATGAAAAGTAACAAAACTATTTAAATTAATTAAACCTTTTTTTTAAAAGTGAATATAACATAAACAAAAATTAATGTGCGTAACAATCAACTGCAATGCAAGTAACAATCAACTCCTAGCTTCCTCCGACACGGCCGTCCTGACGTATTACACGTCCTCGTGTGATGTGGAAGGCCGCGCATCATCTGCAGGAGAGAAAGAAACTTTTCAAAATAAAGTTCGGCCACTCCTGACTAAGGAAATCGTGTACATTAATATAGTTTGTCTCCTACACAATAACGCTTCAGAATTGCTTTAAATTGATGCCTCATAATAAGCAAAAGCCTTTCTTTCTTTACTTTTTAGTAGCGAAAAAGCCAACTCGCCATTTTCGCGTTTCGGATATTTAACAATATTTAACATGGCCATCTCACTAATGTTGTGCCGATTGCAATCTTAAACCGCCACCTCGATTTACAAAGGTCACCTCGCCTTTCAACGGCCACCTCGCCTTTCAACGGCAACCTCGCCTTTTAATGGCCACCTCGCCTTTTAATGGCCACCTCGCCTTTCAATGGCCACCTCGCCTTTTAATGGCCACCTCGCCTTTCAATGGCCACCTCGCCTTTTAATGTAGATAACATAACTTTAATGCCCACCACACGCTGTTAGGATATTCCAAAAGAAACTAGCAGTTATACATACACACACATTCTGATAACAAATCATTTTAAATAAAAGAAAGTTAGTGTAAAGGTCGTACCATCATTATCATCTGACAGGCACGGATCCAGCTCAGTTGGAACATAGGATTGCGGGAGTGGACGCAAGCGATCTCTCGCATATTTGTATACACGATTAGAAGTCAGACTCTTAAGATGATACCTGTCACCGTCTAATATTTCAATAACCTCAAAAGGTCCTTTATATTTAGGATCCAATTTTGTTTGATTCCGTTCGTGATTTTCGATTAAAACAAAATCCCCAACAGAAAACGAAGTGACTTTTGCCTTAGTTTTATCGAACCGTGCTTTATCGAGACATGCGTTATCTTTCATTAACTTATGAGCTTGTTCTCTTAGCTCTTCTACATTTACTTGAATTTCATGATCGTCTACAGTTAATAAATTTAATGGTCTAGCTACTCTACCTATCAACAGTTCTAGGGGACTTGCTTTGGTTACTCTATGAATTGTGCTATTTATGGAAAGCTGAACATCATCTAGTGCATCCTGCCAGGACCTATTTGGGCTTGTTTCTACGACAGTTAACATGTTTTTGAGTGTACTCATTATACGCTCAACTTGACCATTAGCACGACAAGATCCAGTTGCTATTAAATGTAATTGGATATTGTGACTGGCGCAAAAATCTTTAAAATCTTTGTTTGCAAAACATCTGCCCTGATCTGCAATAACGCGCACAGGGGTCCCGAAAAGAGATATGGATGCTTTGAGAGCGCTGATGGCACTATCAGTGTTGATTCTTGTGAAATGTCTAAGTAATACGTATTTAGTAAAAGCGTCTACCAGAACAAAAACGTATTCTTTTTGATCATTCTTGCCACTGAGCTTACCAGTGGCGTCGATATGGATGGTATGCCAAGGAATATTAGTTTTTGGTATTGGGTGCAACTCTATCTGTTGTTTACCACTTTGCGACTTAGCTACTCTACATGTTATACAATTTTCGACAAATTTTCTGACGTATTTTGACATATTAGGAAACCAATAATGTTGATAAACCTTTTCCAAAGTTCTATCCCATCCCAAATGGAGGATTGATTCATGAATATGATTTATAATCGACCAACGAAAACCTCTGGGTACAATGGGAAGCCAAATGTTACGGTTGTTTCTTTGAATTTTTCTATAGAGTACATTAGATCGCAATTCATAGATTCTACAACTCTCTAAATCCAACTCATCGCTTTCAAGTTTACTAATAATTTCATTTAGTTCTGGATCTCGCCGTTGTTCCGCTTGTAACCAATTAGAAGATAACTCACATATATTAACGCGTTTTTCCTCTATATAATTTTCTCTACCTAAATTAGGAGTATCGCTAATGGTGGTGCTGCTTCCTTCAGGTAAATGATTTCTCGAAAAAAAGTCAACGTGAGCCATTCTCTTACCCTCTCTGTACTGTATATCAAAATCAAAAGCCTGGAGGAAAGCCCACCACCGGTACACTCTAGGGGTTAAATCAACTTTAGTTCTTGAGGCTTTTAGAGAATTACAGTCGGTGATGACTGTGAAATTTCTACCATATAAATAATGGCGGAAATGCTTAACTGAATTAACGACCGCTAGTGTCTCCAACTCATAAGAGTGGTACCGAGACTCTGCCTGTGTAGTGCGTTTACTGTAGTATTCTACTGGATGTAATTTTGTATGAACTCTTTGGAAGAGGATCGCCCCGTAACCTTCGCTACTAGCGTCCGTATGTAACTCTATGGGTAATTTTGGGTCGAACAGCATCAAAACTGGGGATGAAGTCAATACCGATATTATGTCTTGTCTAATTATTTCGTATTCTGGTGTCCAAGTTATTTTAGAAGAATTATTGTTAGCCAACAAACGGTAGAGAGGGGCCATTTTAAGTGAAAAGTT